CACACTGTCCTGTCACCCTGACACTGTCCTGTCACCCTCACACTGTGTCCTGTCACCCTGACACTGTGTCCTGTCACCCTGACACTGTGTCCTGTCACCCTGACACTGTCCTGTCACCCTCACACTGTCCTGTCACCCTGACACTGTGTCCTGTCACCCTCACACTGTCCTGTCACCCTGACACTGTCCTGTCACCCTCACACTGTGTCCTGTCACCCTGACACTGTGTCCTGTCACCCTGACACTGTCCTGTCACCCTCACACTGTGTCCTGTCACCCTCACACTGTGTCCTGTCCAGCTGTCCAGAGCCCAGTGTGTGATGTCCAGCTGTGTCACTCGCTGACTCTGCTGCATCGCTCACATGCCCTCTGGGAACCCCTTACAAACTGATCTGATGGTATAAAAATGGAGGGATTTTCCCTGTTAGCTCAGTGATCTCCTCGGGTCTCTGAGGAGGAGACAGGATCTGGAGTGAGGAGGACTCGGGTGTTGGAGTGTGTCCAGACAAGGGCAACAGAGCTGGGGAGGGGTCTGAAATATAAATCCTGTGAGGGGGGCTGAGGGAGCTGGGAAGGGGCTGGAGAATTGCTGAGGGAGCTGGGAAGGGGCTGGAGAATTCCTGAGGGAGCTGGGAAGGGGCTGGAGAATTCCTGAGGAGCTGGGAAGGGGCCCAGGCTGGAGCAAAGGAGGCTCAGGGGGAATTTCTGGCTCTGCACAAGTCCCTGGCAGGAGGGGACAGCCGGGGGGATTTGGGCTCTGCTCCCAGGGACAGGGACAGGAGGAGAGGGAACGGGCTCAGGCTGGGCCAGGGGAGGCTCAGGGTGGATATTGGGAATATTTCATCATGGAAAGGGCTGTCCAGCCGTGGCCCAGCTGCCCAGGGCAGCGCTGGGGAGCTCTAACAGCCCTGGGGATGTGGCTCCTGGGGATGTGGGTGCCTTGCAGTGCTGGGGCAGCTGGACTGAACTGCCTCCTGTTGCTGCGTTGACCACTGGGGGAAATGCTGAGCACGGACCTGTGGAAAATGACCCCCCGTGTTTGCTGGCAGTTACAGTGAATATTCCATGTAGTAATTCTGTGTAACATCATGTTTCACCCTTGGCAATAGCCAGGGAGAACTTTCCTTGCTGAGCCTGACAGCAGTGTCAGTGCTCGGGTCATTCCTCGTTAGCTGCAGCACCTTTGTGTGAGACTGAGATTTACCTGGGAACAAACACGGCTGTGGAACAGGTTTTGGACTGGCTTTCAAAAATATTATCAGTATTTCCCTGTCTGTGACTCATCCCAGTGCCACCTTTGCCTTCTCCTAAACAACATACCTGTTGTGACATTACTTACATGGTGAATGTTGCAGATTGTTTATTCTGTCTCTGCAGCAATGGGATCCACACTAAATGGACTCCAGAAAGGCAGGTACTGATTCCTGTAGTGGTAACCATACTATTTTTCTTTTAAAACCTGTTTTTCGTCATAATTTCAGCTAGGAAAGGAAAATTATTTTCTTTCCAGTATTTCTGTGCGTTACACCTCAGGTGGACTTCCTGCTACTTCATTTTTCTGCTCCTGATCCATCATAAGAATGATTTTAAGCACGAGAAGTCCCCTTCGAACCCACCCAGCTCCAGGCAGCTGCAGAGGGCACATCCCCAGCCCAGAGAGCAGTGACACTGAGGCTGGGGCGTGACAGTACCAGCAGCCCGCTTGGAGGCTGCAGATAAATGGGATGCATTCCCTGGAATGGCCTCTCACTCTGCTTTAATAAACACTGCCCTTGAGTGTTCCAAGGTCTGATGTGGTTCCCAAAGCCCGCTGTATCGAAGCTCAGATTGGGTTCCTTTGCAGAGCTGCTCTCTGCTCACCCTCTCTGAGTGCACAAGCTCACCGTTCCTGCTGCGAGCACTTGGCAGGAATTTCGATTTATGCCTCATCTCAAGTGTAATGTGGAGACTTGCAGTGAAGTATTTTGAGGAGCAGAGAGAGGAAAGAATTTCCTGGGTCACAGAGTCCAGTCATTTGGGGGTGCAGACACCCCACAATCAATCCTTTCATTGAGGCGGTTGACACCCTCCTGGCTGACGAGGTGTGACTGTTCACACCTTGGACTCCATGACCTGAGCAGGTTGGTTTTCCTTCCGTGCCCCAAGTGGAGGGTTGTGCCAGGCTCAGGGATGTGGATCCATGGATCCATGGCCAGAGTCCATGTGTTTGTGCCTCTGGCAGCGGGCTGCTCTGGCTGAGGAAGCTGCTCCGTGCGTCGGCAGCACCACCAGCGTTATGTAATTCTTCAGATTCAGGAGCTGAACGCGTTTCCTCAACGGAGGATTCCTGGTTTTTCCCTCCACAGCTTTCCATGTGGTACCCATGAAGATGAGGCTGAGGACACGGAAAGCTTCCCAGCAGTCCAACCAGCTCCACACGCAGCGGGCGCTGCGGGCCAAGCGGAAACACTCGGAGGTGGAGGAGCCCTTACCTGGCGGCGGGGGAAAACCACCCAAAAATGAGACAGGCCTCTTGTCCTCGATCAAAAAGTTCATTAAAGGAAGCACACCCAAGGTACGCCGGCTGCAGGCCCCTGCTTTGCTTTCAAGTGGGTCATGATCACTTCAAATCTGATTGAAAAGCAGTTCTGTTAAGAATTAATTGTGTGGTGGGAGCAAAACGTAAAGAGTTGGAAGGCAACAAGAGCCTGTGAGCTGTGTCAGGTAAAGCAGACTCTGAAACCTTCAGGAGTCAATTGCAGGCCGACAAATCACAGGCTTTATTACCTGGTGTTTCCTTGTGAAAATGTCAAATAAATTCAGCACATTCTTCATTTCTATTTTAAGGATTCCTTGAATCCAGATTCAAGGAATTACCAGTGCTAACAACTTAGAAAAGCCAGTCTGTAAGCATTAATTTCTTGACTATTTCTGGCAATTTTATTCAAAATTGTTTAGGAGTCATTTAATCAATGAAGGTCAAACCTCACAAATCCAAGTGCCATGGAATTGATGCAGCTGCTCAGGGATTCCTGCAGTGAGCAGTGCCCTGCTTGGAGCATGACATCCACATCTTGTCGGGGAAAAACACAAAATCTCACACCCTGGTGCAGCTAGAAAGCTGAGCTTTACTGACCTGCACATGTCAACACCTGTTGTATGTGCTGCAGGGACTTCTGAGGCTGAAAAATACACACACACCCTTATAAATATACATATACACATATATATATATATGTATGTATGTATGTATGTATAAATATATATATACATACATACATATGTATATGTGTGTGTGTATATATATATACACATACATATATATAAACTTTGGTAGGCTGAATGTAACCTTGCAATTACTTCAAAAACTGGCTTTTTTTCTCTAGATGGAGGCCAGTTAAAAACCCCACATCATCCATCCCAGCCCTCAGACACTGCCATTATGTAACTGCAGATTGGAAAGAAGAGTATCCAAGAAGTCATAACTCATTTGCAGTGTATTCCAGATCAGCTACATAAAAATCTGATAAAATTTCAACACTTTACCGACTTGTCATAGGTGTTTTGGGGGAAGAGGGTAAGAAACCTGTCATAAATGTGTGCCTGCACAAAGAGCCATGCACAGAAGATGTGCAAAACTGTTTGGTTCTGTCTCATTCCCATGAGTGCTGCAGTCACTTATTTCCAGGTAAGGAGAATCCTTGGATTTTTCACAGCTCAGTTTTGCCCTGTACTGTTTTGGATTGTCACACTGGATATTGTTGGGCAGTTCACCTCCTGTGCATTTAACAGGCAGAGAAATCAAGGTAATTTTAGTAGCTTTGTCTCTGCATTTCCCAGCCTCTGCAGCACTGGAATATTTATAGATTGGCTGTAAAGACAAGTTTTCTACTCCAGCAGCTCTGTGTGCAGTTTTCATTCCCCATTGCTTGGGTTAAACTCATGTGAAATCCCAGCTGGCCAGACACTTGTTGCACGTTCTGCATCTGAAGTGGAGCAGTAAAGGGACCTTTGGTGAACTTTCTACTGGAGATAACATTCTCTGGTCTGTTCCATGGAAAAAGAGGCACTGCTCAGTACGTTTCTTTTTTCCCTCTTTTCTATTTTAAGGAAGAAAGAGAAAATCCCACCAAGAGGAGTCGGATTGAGCGGGATATCGATAACAACTTGATCACCTCCACGCCCCAGACGGGAGAGAAGCCCAACAAACAGCTGTCGCGAGTGCGGCGGAAAAGTCAGATGAACGGAGGTTGGCAAATGCTCACACTGTGCACAGCAGGGCAGGGAGAGTTCCCTGGTCTCCCAGCTGTGCCCTGATCCAGGCTGATCTGCAGTGGGGGAGCTTCCTGGGCTTCTGGCAGGGCAAAACAGGATTTCCAGGGGTGGGAGCAACACTTCCATCACCCCCCAGACACATCCACAGTTGGGACCAGCAGCAGCTGCTTTGGAACTTACTTAACTTTTTTTTTTTTAATTTTAATTATTATTCTAAAAGTCCCATAATAATTTGATTTAGCTCTTCTCCCATTTTCTCACAAATAAAAGGGAAACCTTTTAGACCCCCCAACTCTTGAGGTTTGTGGAAGTAAGCAGGTGTCCTTAGATGCTGAAAGCACTTGTCAAACACATTCTGTCAGAGTTGTGAGGCGGGGATTTGAGCTGTGGGATGTACATACCTGCCCTAACATTCAGAGATCACCCTTGTTACGTGTCAGGTGTGTAATCTGGATATTCATTTAATTCTGTCCTTTGTTATCAGTGATAGCAGCTGACAGTTCTTTCCCTTCCGAGCTGTTTGTGCCTGTGTGTGTGGAGAGGAGCAAACGCCGGGCTCTGCAGCAGCTGGAGGCTCAGCCAGGGAGTTCTGACCTTTCTCCTGCCTCCCTCTAGTGGAGTCCTGGCACTGGCAGCTCCGGGGCTGCCTCCCACCAAATCCCTGCCAGGATTCCCACCTCTGCTGTTTGTGTGAGCAGGGGCTGCTGCCTCATGTGGGTGCTGAGAATGCACATTTTGGGTTTTTGCTGGTAGGAAGTTGCTGGTTCTCATGGCCCCAGCTGAGCCACGAACAAGAGTGCACCCCTAGAGTGCAAATGCTGACCATAAAGGAACAGAGGCAACTGAAGCCCAGCTGGGTGGTGTTCAGACTTGTATTTTTTCTTTTCCAGAAGCTGGAAGTTATGAGATGACGAACCAACACGTAAAGCAAAATGGAAAATTGGAAGATAACCCTACCACAGGCAGCCCCCCACGAACAACGTTACTGGGAACCATATTTTCTCCTGTTTTCAATTTTTTTTCACCAGCAAATAAAAATGGTGAGTATTATTCAAAAAGCCAATAGTCTTAAGTGATAGATAGTGAAGGCGATAGATTTTTGTATGAAATAGCTGCTTTGAGTGACAGTACACTTTTTATTCTGGTTTACAAACCAAGAGTTACTGCTGCCAGGCAAAAAAGCTCCTCAATTCTTGGATGGGTTGATGGATAATGAAGGAAATTGAAAAGCATTCAAACATTTCTTTCATGGTGTGTATTTAGTGGTGCACCTTTCAGTAAACAAAATAAGGAGAAGGAAAAAATCCCAAGGGGTTACATTCCTTGTCCCAAACATGTTTTAAAGTCATTGTCATGGTCTTTGGTTTGGTTCTTGTTTTTGTGGCACGGATCAGTGCAGATATCTTGAATTCTCTGATGCTTTGTGTGTGAGTGAGCGTGACAGCAGGGAGCTCGGCCCAGGGGTAAGGAGTGTTTGCAAATGTCCCCCAGGAACATCGGGCTCCGACTCTCCGGGCCAGGCTGTGGAAGCTGAGGAGATTGTGAAGCAGCTGGACATGGAGCAGGTGGACGAGATCACCACGAGCACGGCCACCTCCACCAACGGCGCCGCCTTCCCCGGGCAGGCCCTGCAGCTCCGGGCTGTCAACAACGGCCTGGGCGACACCGAGGAGCCGGGGGACCGCGACCTGCCCCCGCTCACGGGTAAGGGACAGGGCCAGGGGTGTGCCACGGGGCAGGGATGGGGCTCTGGGAACTCCTGTGCCACCTCCCCTTGGCTGAGGGACAGGGCCAGTGCCATGGGGCAGGGACAGTGCCATGGGGCACTCCTGTGCCACCTCCCCTTGGCTGAGGGACAGGGACAGTGCTCCCAGAGGGTCCAGCACCTCATCAGGGACTCCTGTGCCACCTCCCCTTGGGGTGTGCAAACAGTGTTAATTCTGATTTTTATGGTTGGTGGACACATCTGGTTTATGCAGCAAAGACAGTTTTGGCAGGGTTTATCTATTCCTGGTGTAACTCAGCTGGCCTCTTAACACTTCTTCCCATGGAAGCAGAGATTCCAGAGGAAAGGAATTATTACTAACACTGAACTTGCACACTCTGGACTTGCTGATCTCCAGTGAGAAATTGGCTACATTTTGATGTCTTGCATTAGAACCACATGGTAACTGAGAATCTGAGAATCACACAGGTCCTACGTTCATTTTCCACAATTTCTTCAGAAGACAGCATCTTTATTTTTTTGACAAAAACCGTAGCCATAAAATTCAGCCTCTGTGTGCATGGGCAGCATCAAATCCTTGGCTAAGCCCTCCCCAGACCCTGCAGGCTCTGGAGGTGAGCAGCTTTTCAGGAGGGGGTGAATGTGACCCCTGAGCAGAGGGGCTGCTCTGGGTGCAGGAGCCCCTGGCAGGGGAGGTGGGGCTGGAGGGACAGTTTGTTCTCCTCCCTCGTGTGTCAAGTGCAAATTGCCACTTTAAAGAACTGCACTAATAAGACCAGCTCTCGTGGTTTTTTGTTTTATTTTTTGTTTTGGTCATTTTCGTTGAATTTCAGCACCAGTATCTCCAGACAGTGGCTACTCATCAGCTCATGCAGAAGCCACCTATGAAGAGGACTGGGAAGTCTTTGATCCGTAAGTGCCGGTGTTTCTACTGGAAATAGTAAATTAATTGTTTGGGGTATTGAATTAAGATACTTCTATTTAAATTAGATCATTTTCATGTTACAATAAAAGCTCTTACAAAAAAAAAAATGTATCTGCTCATGTGGGGTTTATTTCAATTTAAAACACTTCTTGTGCCTTAAATATTTCAAATATTGAGTTGCAACATTGCACGTTGAACACTGCAGTTCAATAATGTACATTTTTACAGTAAAATCTGTGTTCTTTTCAGATACTATTTCATCAAACATGTCCCCCCACTAACAGAAGAGCAGCTGAACAGGAAGCCAGCTCTCCCACTGAAAACCAGAAGCACACCAGAGTTCTCATTAGTTCTAGACTTGGTAAATATCTTTATAAACACAAACCAAAGCAGGGGGATGGAGCATTTCCCTTATTTTCTTCGTTGTGGAAATCAGTTGTGCTTGCTTTAAACAAAGACTGTTGAATGTTGCATAATTTTAGTTAAAAATAGTTGAAAAAGAATTAATTGTGGTAGGAATAGAACGTGAGCTCCATTTGTTAAATACTTGCATCCTGCTTATAAAAAAGAAAAAGCATTTCAGTTTTAACATCTAAAACAGTGATCTGTCCCCATAAAGCTTCCCTAAATCCAGAGTGGGAAAAATGAGGTGGAATAAAGAGGAGAATTCAGTTATGAGTCTCTCAGCAAGATTGATGAAAAATTAAACTTTGACTTTTTTTAGAACTTTCTTAGAGGGCACAAATCTAATTTGTGAAATAATCCTATGAAATGTATTTGTCTTGGTGGTGATTTGCTTCAGTGTCTCTGTTTTGAAAGGTGTTTCAGACCCTGTTAATGTGTGATTTTTTGAGCAGCATCAGTTGGGCCTGTGATCGTAGGAATGGGTTCATTATTCACACTGAAAGATAGAGGCTGGAACTGAATGAGACAAGAGCCTACAAAATAAAATATCTCCTTATGACTACACCCCCAGCACACAGTTTTAGTGACAATTTTAAAAAAAATTACAAGAATAATGAAATGTTTAATTCATCCTAAGAATTTTCTTCAATCTTGACAGCACTTGCACAAAAGCACATCTTCCATTCTAAATAAACCTGCTTTAAAATAAACATAAAATGCAGAAACTACTTCTATTTTCCACATTGTTTTTTCACACTCTTTATGTAACTTTTCTCTAGGATGAAACATTAGTGCACTGTAGTCTAAATGAATTAGAAGATGCTGCACTCACTTTTCCAGTTCTTTTTCAAGATGTCATTTACCAGGTAAATAGAAAAACAGAAACTTTTTTCTTCTGCTTTGTGGGAATCCTTGCTGTGTGTGGTTGTTCCCAGCTCGTTTGAAGAGAGAGGAGCAGCAGCCTGGCATTTTACACCTGTCTGGTGGTAAACTGCAGGTGTCAGATCTGGCAGGAAATTTTGTGTTCACTTGAAATGTTCCCCTTTGCAGCTCCTCCCCGCGAGCCCAAATCCTTTACTGGAGTCAGAGAGGCAGAGCCCTCCTGGCTGGGGCCTCCTGGGGCTCCACAGCTCCTCACAGGGAATGGTTTCTCTGTGGCTGCAGCTCTGGGCTGGTGGTGCTGGAGTTTATGGAAATAGAGAAACAACTGAAGCCTTTTCCTGAATCACTTCTGACACCCCCAGGCTCAGGCACTTGGTGGTGGTTATTGAGAAAAGGATTTAGTTCTTGTATCTGGGGCTGGAGCTGGTGCTGCCCTGTGTGAGAGTCGAGTCAGGGTGTTCAGTCCAAGCAACCAGTTCCATTTTCCATTTAGAGATTGCCCAACTTCTGTGTTTTACTAAATTGTTTTCTAATTCCATCCCGTTTGCCAGTAGATGTGTTAAGGCTGATGCTCCTGTGCTCCTGCTCCCCTCTGAGCTGCTGGAATTCTGGTGTCTCTGGGGTTTCTGGTGCTCATTTTGAGCTGCTGTGCTGGAATTCTGGTGTCTCTGGGGTTTCTGGTGCTCATTTTGAGCTGCTGTGCACCATGAGGGACGTGGTGGGGTGGCTGGAGGGCTGGGAGTGTTGCTGAAGCCCCTCTCTGCTGCAGGTGTATGTGCGGCTAAGGCCGTTCTTCCGAGAGTTCCTGGAGCGGATGTCTCAGATTTATGAGGTAAAACTGTCAGAAATCACCTTCAAATTCCCTGTTTGAAATTCTGTCTGCTTGTACCTCCAGTGGTGACTTTTTCCCCTCCAATCCCCAGATCATTCTGTTCACTGCTTCTAAGAAGGTGTATGCAGACAAGTTGTTGAACATCCTGGACCCCAAGAAGCAGCTGGTCAGGTAAAGCAGAGCAGTGGGGTGAGCAGTGGGGTGGGGTGGGACCTGCTCCTCCCTGCAGAGTCTCCCTGGCTCATCCCTTGGGCTTTGCCTGGGCCAGGAGAGGGACAACAATGGACTGAAGTGATGGAGTTGGTGCCTTGTGATAAAATAACCCCAGGCCAAAAGCTGTCCCTGTTCAGTCTCTGGCTCATGGGAAACGACCTCTTGGGGATCAAAAATGGGCTTTGGAATACACACTGCAAATAAAGGAAATGAAATGAGTACCTGATTACTTTTAAACTGTTCAAACTTGAGTTATTATAAATTCTGATTTGTGTAGCTTTCCCAATCAGCGTGCTTTTAATTCTCATTCAATCTCAAAGTCATTTGTCTGTTGGTTTTGTATTAGAGCTGGTTTGGATTTTCATTTCTCAGTGCTGAGCTTCGTTGGGAAATGCTTGGCTTTCCCAGTTCCTTAAGGCAGAAGGAAATTCTAGGGCTGAGATTCTGTCCCTGTCACCTGGCAGGGGGACTGTACCTGGCAGTGCTGACCCAGAGTGATCCCTGCTGTGTGGGGTGTCCCAGGCCAGGGAAGCCGTCCCCGGTGGTGGCAGAGCAGGTGACACCCGGAGGATGGTGCCCAGGGGGACAGAGTGGGGGGCTCTGGTGTCAAAGCCTCCTCCAGACACGTGTGCCAGCGCTCAGGACTGGCTGCTGTGTGTTGGGACAGGCGAGAGGCGATGGCACAAGCAGCCAGGCAGGCTCTGGAACCTGCAGAGCTGTCCCTGTGCTGCCTGGCTCTGCCTGGGGCTGCCGTGGCCCCAGCTCTGCCACCAGCCCCAGGTGCCTGTCAGGCCCCACACGTGTGACTCACGCTCTAAATATAAATGCAGCAGCTCATTTCCCTCCATGGCAACGTTGGGAGCTCAGCTCCTGCATGGAATTAGGCACACTGTGTACAGCTTCTGAGCACTCCATTTAAACATCCAGGCAGCCTGCAGTGGGGCTGGGCAGCCCCAAATCTGCCAGCTCCATAATTCTGTGGATACACCGTGAAATGGGAGTTTTATTGCTGCTGCTTTCTCAGTCAGAGGCATTTTAGTCGATCCATCCATTTCTTCTGTCATAAATTACACGGGAGCAGGCTAATGGGAAGGGAAGGAGTTGCTGGGATGTTTTGGCCCCGAGGCTTTTTTTTGAGATGTAATAAGGGAAACAGGTTAATTGGCAGCAGAGGTGTAACAGGAGAGGAAACATTTCTTGTGACACTTGGTGTCCTGGCACGAGGTGGCACAGAGAGACCCTGTTCTGTCAGGGCTGGGATGGAATAAAGGGATAAAAAATCCCAATAAACCAGCTCTGTGCAGCACCTGGGGCTTGGCAGATCCTTGGGGTGTTCTGGGTCCCTTTGTCAGCCTGTCTGTGAAAGGGGTCAGGAAGAAGAGCCTGAACAAATACAAGCGCCCACCCCAGAGCTGCAAAATCACCTGAATGGGGCATTTTACCAGTAAAAAGCTTTAAAGAGAACAGAGAAAGGGTGCAGTTCTCTAACAGGAGATCAGAAGAGAACAAAGTGGATAATGCTTGGCAAAGCTCTGTGTCCCTGGTCTCACTGATGAGTGCTTTCCTTTAATGCCAGGCATCGACTCTTCCGTGAGCACTGTGTGTGTGTACAAGGGAACTACATCAAGGATTTAAACATCCTGGGCAGAGACCTCTCCAAAACCATCATCATCGACAATTCACCACAAGCCTTTGCTTACCAGGTGAGGGGCTGGCCAGGAGCCACCTCAGGGGGGCAAAACTTCCTGAGGGGGACAGGGAACCCCACACTTGGATTTCACTTCTTACGGAAGTCTGGGGCTCTGTACTGAAGTTTGCAAACAACACTGTGGGAAAAATACTCAGGGATCTGTAACTTGGAAACATTTTTTCCCCAAATGCTATTTTACAAGTCATATTTGTAGATAAATTACATATATATTGTGTTTTGATAATTTTTTAATTTTTTTTTCATATTTTAACTTCAGCTTTCCAATGGAATTCCTATAGAAAGCTGGTTCATGGATAAAAATGATAATGAGCTCCTAAAGTTGATTCCATTTCTGGAGAAACTCGTAGAGCTGGTAAGTGTTTGCTTTCTTGGCTTTTCCCGAAACTGTCAGTGAGATCCTTTAATATTTTCACCTATTGTTAAGGATTTCTGAGTCACTGAGGCTGGTGAAGATCCAGGGACGTGTTCACACAGCAAAAGGGGACTTGTCACTGCTGACTGTGCTGTACAGGCAGGGCTGTGGGGTTGTGACATCAGTGCTAAGGAAATGGGGAATCTCTGAGCGTTTTTGAGGTGCCCCAGTGCCGGTTGCTGGCTGTGCTGTGTGTCCTTGTCCCGAAAAGGCCAATAAATCACTCCTGAGCTGCTGTGGATGCTATGGAGTTGTTTCTCTAAGTCTGGAATGGCAGAACTCGTGGCTTGTATTTGTTCTGTTGAAAGAGGGGTGGTGTTGGAGGAGCCCTGCTGCAGTGGGCTTCTGGCTGTGTTAATTCTCCTAAACCTGCCCTTTCCCCCACAGAACGAAGACGTCCGGCCTCACATCAGAGACAGATTTCGCTTGCATGATTTGCTACCCCCCGATTAAAGCCTTTGCTCTCACTGCCGAGGGGAGGAAATGCAGGACCCTGTTGGACTAATACAAAACATTGCCATTACTGTTGAAATTTTGCATTTTTGTACCCCGTCTTGCTTTTCTTATCTTTGGTGCCCAACAGTGATCAAGGGTTACAGAAAGAGACTTTCTACACCTGAGGTTGCCGCCATCAGTACAATCCAGTACCCGCAGTAGGGAGGCTAGAACAGAAAAGTCTTTAGAACTAGTGCGACTCCAAGGAAATTTTTTATGTACAGGACATCTGCAGTTTATAAAGAAAATTCTGTTTCTGCCACCAGCAGTCTGACCTGTAGAAACACAGGATTTTATGATACAACAGAGATTGAAAACGGACTCGGATTTTCTCTCTGTTCGGTGCTCTAAGTGGGTTTGTAGCCACTTTTCTGTTACTTTTAAGATTCTCATTTCAACAGGAATGGCCAGTAAAAGTTGTTTTATTTTTCCTGTTAAGGTTTATAACCTTTTTACATTTTTGACCTGTATTAGATTAGAGTTTCATTATGCATTCCTTTTAGTTGAGGCGCTTCATAGTTTTTCTGGAAATAGCCAAATTTTATTAGTTTTTTATTAAACAGTTGGCTGGCCGTTTCCCTGCTTTGTCTGCCTGCATCCTGTATATTTGTTTAAAAATATTCTCTAGTTTTAGCCCACGTAAGTTTCATTTAGAAAGAAAAAAGAAAAAGAAAAAAAAAAAAAAAACCAACCCAACAAAACCCCCCCGCATTTATATATATATATTTTTTTTTTCTGTAATATTCTACTGTAGTCGAAACCTTTTCAAAAAATCAAGAGACTGGCTAGATAAGACGAAGATAAGAATTACTAATATTGGGAATATCCCAACCCCTTGGGATGGCACGTCCTCTGGACACAGCACGGCTGGCAGTGGCACCACATGGACAAGGAATACCTCAGCCTCTGCTGTGCCTGGGGCAGGACGAGCGTGCTCCTGGCCACGGGGCTCCTGTGACACTCCTGCTTGTGAGCAGCCTCTCCAGGCCGGGCTTCCCTCTGCCCACCCCCGTGCAGAGCCCGCAGCTGATGCTCTCCCGGCCCTGGGGTGCCGCAGGCTTCTTGTGGAAGGCAGAATTCGTACGAGTTAGGAAGCTTTGCCTCTCGACTGCATCACCACGCCACAGGCTCGGACTGGTTTTGTGTAAAAGATGTCACAGAACGGCACTTTTTCTAAAGAGAAGTTTGCTATTTTGTATGCTTGATAAGAAAGTACAGTATTGGAAATTAAAGGTGGACAGCTGATAATTGAGAAGTATGTCAATTAATTTTTTATGTATATTACCTGTTTACTTGTACAATTTTATTGTACAAATTACATGCAGCTTCATTTTCAAATGAGTCCTTAAAATAAGGAAAATCTTTTTAGCAAAACATTTAATTTTTGTATTTTTGATTTTAAAAGGCATGAGTTATGTCAACTTTTTCCAGTGTATTAATGAAGATTTTAACTTTTCATCAGGTTGAGTGTTTTCTTACTATATTATCTGTTGTGTATGTAGCTAGCACATGGTGTCACTGAACTGTTAAAACTTAGCATGTAGAGCAAGCCTGTTTTGTGGAAAATCCTTATTCATTAAAAACAAAATCATCATGGCAGATTTTCTGCAAAAAAAGTGAAAACATTTGCAATTCAGAATACTGATTTTTTTTGTATTTAAAGAAAGGTATTTTGCTTGCAGGAAAGAAATACTACAGATTCATTTTAATGAGAATCTTTTAAATGTATTTATCTTTAGGGCATCCGGGCATCTTTACGCTGTTTGTCTTATGTCTTTATTGAAATAAAATGTACAGAACATTACCTTTCCATCTGCTTGGTGCAGCCGTGTCCCCTGGGCAGCTGATGGATGGATGGACGCTGGAAGGGGCAGCGTGTGGAGCTGCCCTTGCTCTGCAGCCGTTCCTCGCTCGTTCCTTGCCCAGCTCTGAGTCCGGGGGTTTCGGTTCCGCGGTGAAGCTTTGCTAACGGGGGATTCCTCACACAGCTGCTGTAAAATTCACCCAGCTGCCACAACGAGCCCAGCTTTAGCTCCTGGCCTTTTCCAGCCGCAATGGGATGTTCACCTGTTCCAGTAACATCCTTATCCCCAGGTCCTCTGTGGCTCCAGCCCTTCCAAAAGTGCTTCCGGAGCTGAGGAAACCAAAGGCAGTGTTGCACTTTCCAGCTGTGTCTGTGTTGTGCCCATCAGATCCGCGAGGGAAACCCGAACGTAAACGAGGGGATGTAGTTCTGCATGGATGCACAACGGGACTGACAGAGATTGCTCAGTAAACATTAAATATTCATATTTTCCTGTGCTGCAATCACTGGTGTTTATCACTGAAGCACCAGAGTGGTTCTGCCTCCTGCAAACCTTCCTGGTGTGAAGCAGAGTTCTCATCCACAGGTTTTATTTCGTGCTCATCTCGAGGGGGAGTTCCCCGTTCCCGTGCCGAGGTCTGGGTCAGGCTGTGTCCCCAGAACCGCCCCCGTGCCCGGGAGAGGCTCAGCCAGGTGTGAGCGTGGCCTGTGCCCCCCGAGCATCGTGCAGCTGGATCCCCGTTCCGTGTCCTTATGGAGAGCACCACGTCCTATTCCCAGAGTCCTGAATGATTTCCTTGATGGTCTTTGCTGGGTTGTGCTGACCTGTTTCCCACGTCCCCGTGGATTCTGTTCCGTGTTGGAGCACCCTGGTTCTGGCAGCACACTCACCCCTCCCAGACCTTTGTGGCAGCTCCTGTTCAGTCCTGCTTTCCCTGGAATGGCCCTCGCCTCGGTGTCACTGCTTCCCCCACCTCGGAGTCACTCCACCTGACATTCCTCACTGCTGAATGAAAATCGTCCAGCCCGAACGTCCCCAGCCCGGATTGGGAATCTCCCAAACCACGAGCGGCGGCAGCCGAAGGCGTCACGGCGGAGACGGATCGGGTTTGGGAAGAGCCCTGAAATGTGGAACCGAACCCCACAGGGGTGCCAGGAGCTCTGCACAGCATCGTCCCCTTCCCCAGCATCCCAGCTCCAGGGCTGGAGTGGGGCTGCTGGGAAGCGCCGAGCCCCAGGGCGACACGGACCGGCAGGAGAGGAATTCTGGTTCTTGGTACTTGCAAAAATGTCATTGTGCTGATGGGGCCAAATCTTGTAAAATACGATGGGAGGAGAAGTCCTGTGCTATGGATTTCTGTTTCTATTGCAATCATTTCTAGTCTACAGAAGCACAAAGGTTTAATTAAATACTTACGCTCTGGATTCTGGTTTTTTGATTTTTAGCTGATATCATCCTTCACTGAGCCTCAGTTTTCTGTAAGTCAAGACATTGCTCCTGTCAGTTTTCAGCCTTGAAGTGGAAGAAATCGTGTCTGTGTTTTACTGTCAAGGAAAAATTTAAATGTTCTGTGGAAACCCTTAGAATTCCAAATTACATATTCCAGTATTAACATATTCCAAATTACTGCACAATTCCTGGCAGTTTTTTGATTATCCCCACAGCACCCTGAGCCTGTGAAACTGTGTAGACTTGGTGAGGATGTAGTTTGTGACATTGTTTGATCCATAGGTATAGCTCTGTTATTATTTATATTGTCTGGTAAATGGAGAACAGGAAAAGGAGGATAAATTTGGAAGTCTCGGTTTTTCCTTTGTGTTTTTCCTAGACACAGTGATTTATACAGGCATTTACTGAGATCGTTCATTTGTTATATGAAAGACACGTTCTGAATTTATTATCTTCATGCAAAATCTCTCCTCCTTTTCCACGTACCGGGATTCTGGCAGGAATGGGGAGCTGCCAGTGAAGAAGCGACCAATTCCAGCTGTTCTCGGTTCCCTGGTACAGGACAGAGGGGGAACGAGACCCTGGCGTGGGTAAAGCCGAGCGTGGCGTGCCCGGACCCTGCCGGAGCTCGGCCGCTCCCGAACCGGGCCCGTGGAGCTGCGGGGCTGAGCCTGCGAGTACCGAACCGGGCCCGGTGCCTCGGCTCCGGCTGAGCCCGTGAGTGCCGAACCGGGCCCGGTGCCTCGGTCCGCTCCCGGGCTGTGCTTGCGGCGGGGCCGGGGCGGCGCCCGTGGCTGCGGCCCCGCGATAGCGCCGGGCGGGCGGGGCAGCGGGACGGGATCCCAGTGCCGATCCCCATCCCGTTCCTGCCCCCGGTTCTGATCCCGATCCCGGTCCCGATCCCCGTGCCGATCCCAGTGCCGATCCCGATCCCGGTTCTGATCCCGATCCCGCCCCGTTCCCGCCCCGTTCCCGCGCTGCTCAGGCCCCGCCCCTCGGGGCGTGTCCGGGGGCGGGGCGGGGTCACTCCGCTCTGTCCCGGCGTGCCCCGCGCGGCGCTGCCGGCGGCCGCGGTCGGGGCAAGATGGCGGCGGAGGCGGCGGACTCGTGGGGTGGGTGCGGCGGGGCCGCGGGGCTCGGGGCGAGCGGGGGCTCCCCCGCGCCGCTCCCCGCCCCGCTCTCCGCTCCTCACCCGCGCTCCTCTCCCCACAGACGCCGACAGCTTCGAGGTGGTGGAGCCGGTGGCGAAGCGGCTGGTGCCGGGGGTGGCCGGGGACCGCTGGGCCGGCGAGGATGAGGAGGACGACGTGAAGGTGCGGCCGGGCGGGCCCCGCCGGGTCCCGCGCTGCGGCGGCTCCGGGGCCCGGTGTGGGGGAGCCGGGGGCGGGCGGGCCGCTGCCATATGGCGCCCGAGTGCGGGGCCGGGCCGGGCTCGGTGGGGCCGGGCCGGACACCCCGGGGCTCCGCGGGGCCGGGCCGGACACCTCGGGGCTCCGCGGGCTCCGGGCCCGGGCGCGGCGGCGGCTCCGGGGTCGGTGACGGTGACAAGTCCAAATGCCAAGAGAGCCCGAGCTGTCCCTGCGCGGAGCCGGTGTCGCTGCCGTGGGACCTGCAGGGCAGGAAGGGTCAGACAGACAGACAGACAGACTGGGGCATCCACCTGCTGCTTTCCAGCTGCTTCCCAGGCTTTCGAGCGCTTTCCCCTCGCTCCCTGCAGCCTTTCGGGCCCTGAGCTGTGAGTGGGGCGCGCTGGGTGAGGCGTCAGGACGGGTTTCATGAAGGCAGGGCTGTGTTTGTGCTTCTGCTGCTGACCAGAAGCTTCTGTGCTCTGCCAGCGCGTCTTTTCCACCTGATCTTGCCGCTTCCCCGCACACCACCGGGCGGGATCTTGCCGTGTTTCAGAGTGGTGTCTGCACCTGAGTGGGAATAAAGCGTGGATCAGCATTCCTGGTGCTGCTGAAGGCAGAGCTCCCTCAAAGGCCGTTTGCTCCTGCCCGGCTCCAGCTGCCCTTGGCACGGTGGTGGTGCCACAGAAAGCTCCGTTTGCTCATGTGGATAATGCAAAGGGATGCCAGGGTTAGGGTTAGGGTTAGGGTTAGGGTTAGGGTTAGGATGGGTGTCAAGGCCAGGCTGGACAGGGCTTGGGGCAGCCTGCTCTAGTGGAAGGTGTCCCTGCCCACGGCAGAGGGTGGAATTGGGTGGTCTCTGAGGTCCCTTCCCAGCCAAACCATCCCGGGATTCTCCAAGTAGAATAAGGCAACTGAAAAAGACCTTTTTGTTTCCTCCAGCCCTGGGACATTGTAACACTGGGTGAGGACTCAGGGTTGGTTTTGAGGACACTGTTACCAGAATCTCTGAAAAGCACCAGGAGTTTATATTTGGGCTCAGGTGGAGTTCTTCTCATGAGCAGTACAGAAAAAGTAGTTCATGTGCTCTTAAAAACCCTAAAGTTACCAAGATCCTGTGATTCTGTGTGTAATTTAACTTCTTAAACTAATTAGTTGCCACAGCCCAGTGTCCCAAGTGTCACATTAGAGCAGCAGGACAAGGACAGGTGTGTGAACAGCAGCTCCAGGCGCTGGGAATGAGTGTGGACAGCGTGGAAGTGACACAGGTGTGTGTGACAGACACAGGGGTGTGTGACAGACACAGGGGTGTGTGACAGACACAGGGGTGTGTGACAGACACAGGGGTGTGTGACAGACACAGGGGTGTGTGACAGACACAGGGGTGTGTGACAGACACAGGGGTGTGTGACAGACACAGGGGTGTGTGACAGACACAGGGGTGTGTGACAGACACAGGGGTGTGTGACAGACACAGGGGTGTGTGACAGACACAGGGGTGTGTGACAGACACAGGGGTGTGTGACAGACACAGGGGTGTGTGACAGACACAGGGGTGTGTGACAGACACAGGGGTGTGTGACAGACACAGGGGTGTGTGACAGACACAGGGGTGTGTGACAGACACAGGGGTGTGTGACAGACACAGGGGTGTGTGACAGACACAGGGGTGTGTGACAGACACAGGGGTGTGTGACAGACACAGGGGTGTGTGACAGACACAGGGGTGTGTGACAGACACAGGGGTGTGTGACAGACACAGGGGTGTGTGACAGACACAGGGGTGTGTGACAGACACAGGGGTGTGTGACAGACACAGGGGTGTGTGACAGACACAGGGGTGTGTGACAGACACAGGGGTGTGTGACAGACACAGGGGTGTGTGACAGACACAGGGGTGTGTGACAGACACAGGGGTGTGTGACAGACACAGGGGTGTGTGACAGACACAGGGGTGTGTGACAGACACAGGGGTGTGTGACAGACACAGGGGTGTGTGACAGACACAGGGGTGTGTGACAGACACAGGGGTGTGTGACAGACACAGGGGTGTGTGACAGACACAGGGGTGTGTGACAGACACAGGGGTGTGTGACAGACACAGGGGTGTGTGACAGACACAGGGGTGTGTGACAGACACAGGGGTGTGTGACAGACACAGGGGTGTGTGACAGACACAGGGGTGTGTGACAGACACAGGGG